GGGCCCTGCCACCTTCTCCTGTTTTCACTTTTAGTGGTCTGTCTTCCATAAAGTCCTCACTCCCCAAGGTTTCTGAAGATAGATCGAGCGCCCTTTGTCTTTCGCTCTCGTTCCAAAGGGCTGTGAGAGGAGAGGAGGAGGCTCGGAAGTCCGAGGTCTCTTTGGCAGGGGAGCCCCCTGAGTCAGGATTGTTGGCAGTGGGGCGCTGGAGCTACCGTTATGGGCCGAGAGTGGCTTGTAAGAGCCAACTGTGCCATTTTTGGGAACTGAGTGGGTTGTTACACACAGCCATTATTAAAACTTAGATGCTGTAAACACAAAACGTAGTACACTATATTAAACACAAAGGCAGGAAGTGCTTCAAAGTCAGCACTTTCCGGTGCTGTGTTCTTGAGGTAACTTTTATTGGTAGGGGTGGAAATACTGTATAATTGGTGTGCTCATCCTGCGCCTCTTCCCAACACCCAGCTGTCTGAAGTTGGTTGCTTAAAAGTGGAGAGTTTTCCCGTTTGGGAGTCCATAAGCTTGACAGATCTGGGGCTTTCCTCCTCCCCGGGGAACTGCTTGTTAAACATTGGCCAGCATACTCTGGTACTGGTGTAGGGTGGTTTCATCTACGGCTGCTGGGGTTGGCAGGGATTACACAACCCCAGCCCCTGCTGCCCACTGAGCCAGGTTTCCAGCCATCAGACTGGGGCCTGGGTCTGTTCAGCGTGACCCCCACGCCTGCCCTTCCTAGGCCCTTCCGTACTTCGACCGGCTGGACTATGTGTCCATGATGTGTAACGAACAGGCCTATTCACTGGCTGTGGAGAAGTTGCTCAACATCCAGCCTCCACCACGGGCTCAGTGGATCCGAGGTATGCCCTGCCTCCTCTCCTGGGACCCTCTGTGAGCACAGCACAGGGTCCACCCCAAGTCTGATATTCATTCAGCCCCCACCCAGCCTCTGCCTAGAACTTCCGTCAGCCCCTATTGCCCCTCTGCTCTCCCCACTCCTCAGTGCTGTTTGGAGAAATCACACGGCTTCTGAATCACATCATGGCGGTGACCACACACGCCCTGGACATTGGGGCCATGACCCCTTTCTTCTGGATGTTTGAAGAAAGGGAGAAGGTAGGCCGGCGGGGCGGGGCGGGGTGGATGTGCAATAGGGAGAGGGAAGGAAGTACAAGAACGAAAGACGGTCTGCAGGAGACAGAGATTAAGAGGGAAGGGGGTGGTGGTCTTAGTGGAGAGAAGGCGAAGGGTATAATCCTGGGTTTATTCTTAGGAATTCTGCGTCAGAGGGTTGGTGGAGCGTGAGAAGGTAGGGGGTGGACCGCCATGCTGTTGGACGTTGTCACTAATTCCCAGTGTGTCCTATCAAGATGTTTGAGTTCTACGAGCGAGTGTCCGGCGCCCGAATGCACGCTGCTTATGTCAGGCCAGGAGGAGTGCACCAGGTGAGCGGGTGCCCCGCCCCCTGAGCTTTCAGCCCAGGCTTGTATTCTCTGCGGCCACAGGAGGGCAGCACGGGCATGTGGAATGGCCAGGGCTAGCTGTCCCCTGTGGCCCTGGGAGGCAAGGCTGGCTCTCACTCGGGAATAAAATCGCTCGGCTCACTGCCATCCTCCATTTGGCTTCCAGGACCTACCCCTCGGGCTCATGGATGACATCTATGAGTTTTCTAAGAACTTCTCTCTCCGGATTGATGAGGTGGAGGAGGTAAGATAGGAGTCAATGGGGGGAAAACTCTCTTTTTACATTCCCATTTGTGAAAAACTATGAGGAGTCCTAGTGATGTAGCATAGCGGGTTAAGTGTTTATCTGCTACCCAGAAAGTTCGTGGTTCAAACCCACCAGCTGTTCCGAGAAAGATAAGGCTTTCTGTTCCCAGAAAGATTTATAGCCTCACGCCTATTCTGCCTTAAAGGGTTGCTGTGAGCTGGAATGACACCACAGTAGTGAGGTTTTTTGTTTGTTTTTTGCTGTATCAGTTTATTATTATTATTGAGTAGTGAGTTTTTAAAGGAAATATGGAAGTCTCCTGGACTGAAGAGCAGTCACACACCCGTTTTCACTATCAGATGCTGACCAACAACAGGATCTGGCGAAATCGCACGGTGGACATCGGAGTTGTAACAGCAGAGGATGCCCTTAACTATGGTTTCAGGTGTGAGGAATGAGACTGCTTTCCCGGGCCCTGCGGCCGGCCGGGGACACCTAGTGCTGACCTTCCTCTGCAGGGTTGGGGCAGGAGTAGCTTTGGGAGTATGTGACAGGCACTCTCATTGCCGGGCTCTGGGTTTTAATCCTGCCCCTTGAATGTGAGGGCGGAAAGCGGGGAAAGAAAGAGGAACGTATGTCTCCTTCCTCTATTAGTGGACAGTGGCCCTTATTGCCATTGTCTGCTCTCCAGTGGGGTGATGCTCCGGGGCTCCGGAATCCAGTGGGACCTTCGGAAGACACAGCCCTATGATGTGTACGACCAGGTGGAGTTTGATGTTCCCATTGGCTCCCACGGGGACTGCTACGATCGGTAAGGCTCCAGCAGCTGCCGGCTCAGTGCCCAGCTGGTCTCCCTGCCTGGTCTCCTTTTGGCCCGCTTTCTTCTTTGCTCTGCCTCCTAGAATCTCCTGGCGTGCTGTGTATATCAAACTGGGTTCCTTTTCAGAGCATAGTCATACACAAGTGGCCTTTAAAGGTTCGTGGGAAAAAGAGATTTAAAAAATAATGGTGGTTTTCCACAAACTTTTTGAAACCCATTCAAATGTTACCGCTTTATTTGACCCTGACATTATCTCGATGTTTCTGTTTGGTTACTTGTTTGCCTAAAAGGGTATTTAAAGAAGGCAAGGCCGCAGCGTGTGGTCTGAGAAAAGGAGGAGAGGATTTGGGGGAGGACTCAGTATTAGAAGCAGAAGACGATAGGACTGACGTGGGTGGCCCCGTCAAGCAGAGGTGCTCCACCAAGGAGAAAAGTTTACCGAATGCTTTTCGCCCGGGTTGGCCAAAGGACACCGTTCCCTGGCCCTTATCTGACCCTCCTCCTTCTCTCGTGTGAGTCGGCCTCGTCTACTTCAGGTACCTGTGTCGGGTGGAGGAGATGCGGCAGTCCCTCCGGATCATCCTACAGTGTTTAAACAAGATGCCTCCCGGGGAGATCAAGGTTGATGACGCCAAAGTGTCTCCTCCAAAGCGAGCCGAGATGAAGGTTGGCCTGGCTGCTTGGCGGGGAGGGAATGTGGGGTCTTGGCAAAGAACCCAGCCAGGGAGGCCTGGCCTTAGATGAGATGCTGCTGTTCAGTTTTCTTTTTCAAAAGAATGAATTGCGTGAAGGTGAGGCTTTTAACCCTCCGGAGCTCTCCTCGCCTGCTGTGACTTGTCTGCCCACTGACTCAGTGGGTTTGTAGTTGCCCCAGGGTAGAGATGTTGGTCGGGCTAGGGAAAGGCCAGACTTACCGATGTTCTTGCGTTCTCCTCTGCAGACTTCCATGGAGTCGCTGATTCACCACTTTAAGCTGTACACCGAGGGCTACCAGGTTCCTCCAGGGGCCACGTACACTGCCATTGAGGCTCCTAAGGTGCGGAGCAGAGGGGAAGGGAGAGACAAGGTGTGGAGTGGGTGACTGGGGATATGCCTCCAAAGAAATGCTGTTTGCCATTGAGAGGACACGATGGGGACTAGAGAGATTTTGTTTGGGGAAAATGTGCTTCCTGTTAATGGAGGCAGCCGCTTTTCTCCCTCGGACAGGGCGAGTTTGGCGTATACCTGGTGTCTGATGGCAGCAGCCGCCCGTATCGATGCAAGATCAAGGCGCCTGGTTTTGCCCACTTGGTAAGAAGCAGTCCCAAGGATTCTGATGCCGGGATTTGAATCTAGTCATTTTTTGACCTGGGTTGAACTTTGGTGAACCCCCCTTCCTCCTCGTACCCTACAAACCTTGCCTAACATGGGTGCCATCTCCTCCCCGCCAGGCTGGTTTGGACAAGATGTCCAAGGGACACATGCTGGCAGATGTCGTCGCCATCATAGGTACTGGGTCCATCGTGTGGCTGAGACGTCTTAGGCCAAGGGGTTCGGGTGGGGAACCCCCTGCCGTGGCCCCAGCAGCTGGGGCCTTCCTGTTGGGTTTGGATTCCGAATAATCTTTGGTAACCTCCTCATTTTTCTCTTCACCCCCTGGCCTCCTAGGTACCCAAGACATTGTGTTTGGAGAAGTGGATCGGTGAACAGGGGTGACCTCCGTCCTCAGCTTCCTCAGTGACATGCGTCACCACTGGAAACGGTGTGTGTGTCTGCGTGGATGTGTCTGTACACACATGTACACTTAGCTGTCAGGCTTCCTGGGTGTGCACATGAAAAGGAAAGAGTATAATAAATTAGCCGCTCTGCGGCCCCTATGCCCCAGCTTCTGGTATGTCTTAGGATCTCTGTCTTTCACTCTGATGGGAAACTTAAGTGTGCTAACGCTCCATTTCTCTTCTCACTCTGTTCTTAGCGATTTTCCTGCGTATCCCCACCCCTCTCTGAATGGTATGCTCTCCACTTCTCCATTCCCCATGCCTCCTTACTTCCTCTTTCTCCTCAGTCCACCCCACCCCACTCCCCTTCGAGGCCCCCTGTGCCCAGGGCTTCCAGGTGTCCACACAGATTGGTAAAGCCCTCAAATCAAGATGGGGTGCAAGGCCAGGAGGAGGGAAGGACTAGTTGGGGTCTCCAGCAGGCTCACTGGCGGGTCATCTCTGAACCGGGGTGGAGTGAAAGCTGGTGCGTGTAGACGATCTCCCCCCAGTAGGAGAGACCCCGCTTTCTGTGGTGTCGGCCCTGGTTAGTGTAGGCCCGAGGCCTAAGTGACCAGCTCTCCCAGCTGCCCTAGCTGGCCCTTCCGGGAGCCGCCCGGTCGACCTCAGCGCAGGAAGGGGAAGGGGCCAGAGCGTGGGGGAAGGCGGGGCAGGAAGGGGGGAGCTCTGTGGTCAAGGCCCTGCGCGCTGAGTCTGTACCGCTGCGCAGTGCTGTCGGAGCGCCCGGTCCGCAGCTTCCCCCTGGCCCGCGGCCCAAGATGATTCCAGCAGTGATCTTGCTCTTACTCCTTCTGATTGAACGAGCAGGTGAGAAGGTTTGATGAGGGACAGTGAGCCGAGCTCTGGGGGACCGTGGGCTGGGGCAGGTACAAAGGAAGACTGGCCGTGGGCAGACAGCCGCTGGGCTGACGTGGACGCCGAGAGCCACAGGCCGGCCTGCCAGCGCAGCAGGGACGCAGTGCCCCTGCCTTGGCCTCTTCCTACCCTGTGTTTCCTCATCAAGACTGATCGGCTTCGGAGGCTGCAGTTTGTCAGGGCTGAGAAATGGACGTGGGACTGCCGGATCCGGTGTCGGGCCGAGCTCCATTTCCCACCATCTGCCTGTTCACGGGGCTCGTCCGTTGGCAGTGGGAGTGGGTTGTTAGCTGGTTAAACAATGCAGATCCCGCTTGAAGAAAGCAGGGCCGACCTCATGCTGAGTGAGGCAAGGCTGGTCAAGATACACTGTGGGGAGGTCATCACTAACATGCATTGTGTCAATATGCTGACAGAGGAGTGGGCAGCACAAAGTGCCCTCTAGAGGCCTTGACATCAGCTGAGAAATAGGCAGAAATGAGAAAGCCCAGCGACTTTAAAGGCTCCGATCAGTTTTTAAGAACTCTTGCTAGGGCGGGTTGTCTGTCTATGCTGGAAGAGAGAGAGTTGAAGAGGGAATGGTGGCAGCTGGGTCCTGTGGGGAGGAAGGAGGCTTGAAAACTTGGGGATACTAAAAGATACGAGACAGGAGGAGAGCAGCCAGCTCTGAAGGCAGAGAGCAAGGACACAGTGAGTCGGGACACAGAAAACCTGGATTTCTGTCCCCACCCCGCCCCACCCCTAACTGTGATCGCAGATAAGTTACTTAACTTTTGGTTTCTTCGCCCGTTCGCTCAGGGTGGTTTTGAGACTTATGCAATGTTGTGTGGGAAAATGTGTCATGGACTAGCAGGTGCTCTGGGGTAGCAGAAGCACACTCATGAGCCCTTCTGATAAGAGCCTGGTGCAATCTTGAGGCCAGATCATGGATCATGTAAATGACACAAGACATCCCTTCTCTGCGGCCCAGAGTTTGCACGCCTTCTCACGTGACAGGGCAGCGTGGCAGGCGATGGGATCCACAGAGCTTGTGGACATTTCCTTGAGCCAGCCTAAGACATGCCCAGTCTTGAGTTTGCAGCCTCTGCGATCAGAGCCTGTTTTCCCCAAATGTGTCTCATGAGAAAACAGAAAGCAGAGAGACTCCGGCAACAAGATGACCATGTAATCTTGTGTGATTGCCTTCCCCACCACCAGCACATCCTTCCTGTCTAGCCCCCAGCCACAGGTCCGTCACAGGACTTAGCAGAGCCATTTCGTGGTTTCTTTGCTGAAATTTGTCACAGCCCGCCCTCCTACTCCACCCCTCCGCGGGGCTGAGGTTTTGGGTCTCAGCTCGACAAGCACAGATGGGTCCCTTGAGGAGGGTGCTCAATGGGGCCTGAGGAACCCACAGGACTGAAAGGTGAGGGTTGAGGGGGAAGGGAAAATCCTCCACTCTAAGTTCCCCCATCACAACAGACCCCTTCGTACTTCACACTTCTGATGGGGCCTGAGGTGGGGTGTGGAGAGGAGGGTGGCAGGAGAAAGAAGAGTCTGAGGGCAAAGTGGTTTCTGTCCCAGAGCCCTTTTCCATCTCCCTCCTGAGTGCCACATCCCCCCTGTGCCCCAACCCCGGGCACCCCCTTTATCCCTTCAGCGGCCCTGCAAGAGCCTCAGCTCTGCTACATCCTGGATGCGATCCTCTTTTTGTATGGCATTGTCCTCACCTTGCTCTACTGTAGGCTCAAGGTAAGGCCGGGCCAGGCTGGGATGAGGGTTGCAAGAAGGGCAGGGAGGGGGGTGGTGGTGTTAGGGGGTGAAGTGTGGGAGGTGTTGTATAGTAGATTCCAGCTGCAGGAATGAAAGGGTTCCCCCATGGAGTTAGGGGTGGGGGTGGGGGTGAGGAGGAGGAGGGGCTTCTGACTTCCCCTTTACTGATCACCTTTCCCCCCATTCCAGATCCAGATGCGAAAGGCAGTAACCAGCCATGAGGTAGGACTTCCCCCTCTGCTGGACACAGCTTTTCACACTCTGCCCCTGTAGGACTCTAGCCTTGGGGTCTGAGGTCTCTGGGCTTCTGGGAGGGGATATGCCAGGTATTGATCAGTTTCTGTTTCCCAGGCTACCCCTCACTTCATCCTACCCCGCCAGGCGTCCTGGTCAAGCTGTCCAGACAAATCAAGAGTATATGAGAGAATGGTGCCTTGTGTGTCCCTGTGTGCTTGTAGCCAGTCATACAGGCAAATGTGTATTGATTCATGCCAGGGGATCTGGGTGTGGGCCCTTGGGCTCATGAGGGCTAGCTACTTCTGGCCAGAGACCTGTCTGGGAAGGGAAGAAAGTTCTGGAGGGCCCTGAAGGAGGTGTGGATCTCTAATGCCTTGTCCCCTTTGCCTCCACAGAAGTCAGATGGCATTTACACGGTGAGTGCATCTGCCTACCACCACCATTACCCAGTTCCAGGAAGTCAGCAGAGAAGGGTGGGAATTTTGAGTGACTTTTAGAAGGGATGGTGCCATAGTGGTTGTGCACTGGGTCAGCAGTTTGACTCCATCAGTAGCTCCACAGGAGAAAGATGAAGCTTTCGAGTACTTTAAAGAGTTATCGTCAGGAAAAAAGAAAAAAAAAAAAAAAAAGAGTTACCGTCTCAGAGTGGTGCAGGTCTACCCTGTCCTATAGGATCGCTACGAGTCAAGATCGACTTGATGGCAGGGAGTTTGATTTGTTTGGGTCTGTTTGGAAGAGGTGGAGTGTGTGGAGGTGGGTAAGGGCCCTAAAAGAGGCTCACACCTACTATCCTCTGATACCCCCATTTCCAGGGCCTGAGCACTCGGACCCAGGAGACTTACGAGACCCTGAAGCACGAGAAGCCACCAAAGTAGCCGTGGAATGGATGCCTTCCATCTCATGCTTCTCTTCTGAATCCTCCTCCCCACCCACATGGGGGGCATTCACCTAAACTGCCCCCTCTGCAATTAATACCACTGGACCCCACTCCTATACTGACTCTCACTGCTCATCAGTGCTCACCAGTGGGTCCTCCTCCTGTCAGAGGCTTATGCTCAAATGCTGTTCATTAACGTCCAAGGCTTGCCCCTTGCCCTACTCTTCCCCATCCCCAACTTCTGCTAAGCAAGGCCACGAGACTTCCTCCAATAAAGCCACGGCACACTGAGCCCGAGTCACTTACCGCACCGCCACGCAGCCTCGGCCAGGCGCCAGAACGGACACAAAACGCAGGTCGGTTAGTGGGTTGTTGTCTTTACCATAGATGCACACCTTTCAAAATGATATGTTATTGTGGTAAAATATATACCACAGAGAAAGGTGTTTCCACCTGAAGTTACAGATTTGAGCAAGGAAGACTAAGATCCTGATTTCACAGAGCTCACAGGTGAACGGACCCCTGGGCTATTTTGTCTGACTGAGGGGTGCAGGTTGACTGTGGCAGGAGAAGGGAAGATTCGTGACCCCAGGTGTGCTGGGATGGTGCTGAGACGGGGATTCATGTGTTGAGAGAATCGAGGTACTTCCGGAGCTATTAAAACCCAGTTGGTTTTCACTCATGGCCATCTTGCGTGTTTCAGCTCAAGCTGTGCTCCATAGAAAGGCGGATTTTCCAGAAGCAGATCTTTCCCCTAAGGAGCCTATGGGTGGTCTTGGACTACCAATCTTTTGGTTAGCAGCGGAGGGTGCTAATCGTTTGTACCACCCAGGTTTGTTTGGTGGTGGCGTTGTTTTAAGACATCAGAACCTAAGAAATTATTTCTGCGTCCAGCTTGGCCTTCTGTGTCTGGGAATTAAACCAAAGCTGAGTTGTAGAGCCTGGGTCAGGCTATGTTCCTCAGGTCATTACCAATCCCAATTAGAGGGCTTCAGGGAGCAGTGGGAGGACAGCTCACCAGGTACACATGTATGGGACCTCACACACATACACACACACACACACACACACACACACACACACACACACA